TGGTCTCAGTTTCTCCATGAGCATCACCATGGGTTGCCCAGCATGGTGGCACACACCCTTAATTCCGGGAGGTAGAGACAGGTGGATCTCTGTGAATTCAAGACCAACCTGGCCTATACAGTGAGTTCCAGGAGAGCCAGAGCTATATCGAGAGACCCTATTCCAAAAACAAAAAAAGAAACTTGGGTGGATGGTCTCTAAACCCCTCAGCACTGAAGCTGCCTGTCTCTCTGCTAATACCAACTCAGGGCCAGGACCTCTCTGTGAGAACAGTAATAGTAATATTAACTATGATTGCCAACCTCTATTGAGTCTCATAAAGATGAGAAGTTGAGACTCAGGGGCTGGGAAAGGTTCCAGATCAATGATAGAGTATGTATTTAGTATGTTCGAGGCCCTGGGTTTGATCTCCAGCACCACAAAATAACATTATTATATTTTTTTTATTTTTCCTGAGACAGAGTTTCTCTGTGTAACAGTCCTGGCTGTCCTGGAATTCACTCTGTAGACCAGGCTGGCCTCGAACTCACAAAGATCCGCCTGCCTCTGTCTCCCGAGTACTAGGATCAAAGGCGAGGGCCACCACCGCCTAGCTAAAATAGCATGTTTTTAAAGGAATTGCGTAGAATCTCGCTCAGAGACAGAGTGCTTGTCCAGCATGTGTGAAGCCCTGGGTTTGATCTCCAGCCTCGCATAAACTGTATGTGGTGGATGCAAACTTCAAGCCCAGCACTCAAGGGCCAGAGGCAAATGGAGCTCTGAGTTTGAGGACAGCCTGGTCTACATAAGTTCCCAGCCAGCCAGAGGTGCATACTGAGACCCTGTCTCAAAAAAGAAAGAAAGAGGTTGGGCATGGTGGCGTATGCCTTTGATCCTAGCAGAGAGGGAGGCAGAGGCAGGCAGACCTCTGTGAGTTCGAGGCCAGCCTGGTATACAGAGTGAGTTCCAGGACAGCCAGGGCTGTTACATAGAGAAACCCTGTCTTGAAAAACCAGGACAGCCGGGCGGTGGTGGCGCACGCCTTTAATCCCAGCACTGGGGAGGCAGAGCCAGGCGGATCTCTGTGAGTTCGAGGCCAGCCTGGGCTACCAAGTGAGTTCCAGGAAAGGCGCAAAGCTACACAGAGAAACCCTGTCTCGAAAAACCAAAAAAAAAGAAAAACCAGGACAGAGAGAGAGAGAGAGAGAGAGAGAGAGAGAGAGAGAGAGAGAGAGAGAGAGACTGAGTCTCGAGATGATATTACAGGCGGCCACCATCTACAAACTGCAAAGGTGTTGGATTCTCTTCAAGATAGCAGAGCCTTTGTTCTGATCTGTCTCAGCTGTGGCTTGTGGTGTGACTTTGGACAAGTTGATGCCCCTCTCCCGGGGGCTTGGTCTCCCCTGAAGTGTATGGGATGAGACCACATGGCATTCTCTGGGATTTAGATGGTAGGTTCATTTCCTAGAATTGTTGAGACAAACTACTTCAAAATAGGGGCTTACCACCACAGAGATTTCTCTCTTGGTCCTGGCCACACCTGGAATCCAGGGTGGGTGGGGCCTGGCGTTCCCTGAAGGCTCTGGAGGAAACTTTATCTATTCCAGTTTCCTGTGGCTGTGGGCATCCACAGGGCCCGTCTCCAGAAGCCTCATAACGACAGGGTTTGCCCCTCTGCAGATGGCTTTCTCTTTGGGGGTGTGTTTCTGTGCCCAGTTCCCTTCCCTTTCAAATTAAAAAAAAAATTATTTTTGTGAGTATTTTGTGTGCGTGTGTGTGTGTGTGTGTGTGTGTGTATACCATGTGCATTCGTGGTGCCCACAGAGGTGAGACGAAGGCATTGGATCCCCTGGAACTAGAATTATGGATGGCTGTGAGCCACCACGTGGGGGCTGGGAACCGAACCTGGGTCTTCTACAAGACTGGCAAGTGTTCCTAACCACTGAGCCATCCCTCTGGCTCTATTTTCCTTTCTTTTAAATCTAGGACATTAGCTACAGTGGATTTAGGGCTGATCCTAGACCAATATGATCGCATTAGGTTGGACCAAGACCCTGTTTCCAAGGAGGCCACAGTAGTAGATGCCGTGTGGGATGAACAGGATGCATGTGTGTGTTTGGCAAATGCCACCATCCGAGCCAGGGTAGGTAGCATGCAGGATGTCCCTGTGACTGGGTGTTGGTGTTGGAAAGGCTAGTGATATCCTCGCCTCTGCCTCTCAGGGAGACCCTTGGTGGCCCAGACACACCCTCGGCCTTCTCTATTTGATCACCTCATCACTCTTTACTTTGTGTTTCTCCTTCCAGAAAACCAGACAACCCCCTCAGAGCACCAATAAGGATCCCAGGACCAAGGGGTGAGGCTGGCCCAAGTCACTTGGCCAGCTAGAGGTAGAGCTGAGTTTTGGTCCTCCCCACCCCTAGCAGCCCCTATGAACCGCCCCATTTCCCACCTGACTTTGCCTTCTATCTCTCCGGTCTCAGGCTTTGCTGAGTGGGGACAAGGCTCTGGGCCTCTACATGCTCCCAAGTCCCAGGGTGCCTAGTTACACAAACGTACCCCCAACCCTGGCCTTTCTTGTACCCTAGCTCTGCGGCAGCCTGCATCCCCAGCCTCGGGGGCTCCAGTTCCGTTTTAGCCAGGAAATCAGGGATGTACGGAATGGGTGTGACTCCCCACCCTAATCCTGTCACTCATTCCACCATCCCAGGAAGCCAGGGGAGGGCAGATGGCATCTTCTTCTGGGGGTTAGGGGCTGGCATGAGAATGTGAGTGACTGACTGCCATGTTTTTTGTTTTTTTGTTTTTTTTTTTTTTGGTTTTTCAAGACAGGGTTTCTCCGTGTAGTTTTGGTGCCTGTCTTGGAACTCACTCTGTAGCCCAGGCTGGCCTTGAACTCACTGAGATCTGCCTGGATCTGCCTCCCGAGTGCTGGGATTAAGGGTGTGCGCCACCACCGCCTGGCTGACTGCCATGTTTTCATGCCTGTGTTCCTTAGCACATTTGGAGAGAACTGTGGGTTGTCCTCTCAGGATCCACTCATCCCAGGGAGAGTTCTGTCATCAAGAGCCTGAAGAGAGGAGAGAGTCAGTCATCTAGCTAAGCCCAGAGTAGCTGCTTCACTTCCCACGTCCAGAGCTCTCCGCCCCAAAGACACAGTGAGCTGGCGCATTGGACACGTTTCGTTGTAGCGCTCCAAGAAAGACTGTTAGTGTTCTGGTTGAGGAGAGGCCAGGGGACATGCGAGCCATCTCACAGTACACAGGATGCCCCCAATAGAGACCTGACCACCCCATTCCCTAGGGACAGGCCCTGCTCTAAGTGATTGTTCCTGAAGTTGACATGTCTCTGCCATCAGAGCTCCCACTGAATGTTCCCTTTATTTTAAAAACCCCTCCGCAGTCCCGCTCCATAGCTCATGTCTATAACCCGAGCACTGAGGAGGTCAGTGTAGGAGGATTGCCGCCAGTTCAAAGCCAGCCTGAGCTACAGCGAACGGGGGCATTTGGGCAGGGTGTCGAGCCTCCTTTGTGTTTGAATCTGCTGTCCTCCATCCTTCTGTGCAGTGAGAAAGGGACCGACAACCTCCCCGCAGCTGTGCTCTTGACCTCGCCCCAGAGGCCCCCCCCAGCCCCCCCCCCCCCCCCCCCCCCCCCCCCGGTGCCCAGACAGGGGAATCGATTCAGGAATCCTTGGTGATGCTTGTCGATAAAATACAACAAGACAAGGGGCTGGAGAGATGGCTCAGCAGTTAAGAGCACTGGCTGCTCTTCCAGAGGACCTGGGTTCAATTCCCAGCACCCACATGGCAGTTCACAACTGATTGTAACTCCAATTCCAGGGACATCCAATGTCCTCTTCTGGCCTTTGCAGGCACCAGGCATGCATGTGGTGCACAGATATTCATGCAGGCAAAACACTCATTAATAATAATAATAATAATAATAATAATAGTAACAACAATAGGCTGGAGAGATGGTTCAGTGGTTAAGAACACTGGCTACTCTTCCAGAGGTCCTGAGTTCAATGCCCAGCAACCACATAGCAGCTCACAACCATCTATAATAGGATCTGATGCCCTCTTCTGGCCTGCAGGTATACAAGCAGAGCACTCATACATAAAATATAAATAAAAAATAAAATAAACGTTTAAAAAATAATAATACAAGGCAAGAAGAAACCAGGCAGAAAGCATGCCAATAAATGAACCCCACGATGCAGAAATGCTGTCCAGCTGCCCAGAAGAGCTGCTCAGCTCAGCTCTCACCCTCTGGTCACAAGTGTGAAGGATGGACATTTCAAAGCAATGGGCTATGGAAACTCAGCCTGGACACTTTCCCTTTTAACCACCAAAGATGGCGGAGGAGTCAGGGGGCTGGAGAGAGGGCTCAGAGCTTAACAGCACTGCCTGCGGTTCCGGAGGACCCGGGTTCAATTCCCAACATCCACATGGTGGCTCACAGCTGTCTGTAACTCCGGTTCCAGGGGACCCGACAACCTCACCCAGGCATACATGGAGGCAAAACACCCATGTACATAAAAATAAAAAAAAAATAAAATTCATTAAAAAAGATAGAGAGGTCAGCTGCCAAGAAACTGGGGTACTACTGATGCCGTTTGGAAGCAAGGGCAGAGGAACAGCTGGTAATCCAGGGGTGGCCACCCTCATTTCTGCCATCTGGGTCAGGCCCCGTGCTTGGCCCTCACAAATTGGGTGCTGAACCCCCTGCCACCTGCTTGAAAGTGGATGCTGTTGGTCTTCGGGTCCCTCAACGCCTGTCACACAGTGGGTACTCAACAACTGCTTTTGACTTTTTTTTTCCCCTTGGTTTTTCGAGACAGGGTTTCTCTGTGTAGCTCTGGAGCCTGTCCTGGATCTCGCTCTGTAGACCAGGCTGGCCTTGAGCTCACAGAGATCCGCCTGGCTCTGCCTCCCGAGTGCTAGGATTAAAGGCGTGCGTCACGACGCTCAGCCGGCCGTGGTCATTCCTGCATTGCACCAGTGTTTTGGGTGTGCTGAAGGCAGTGCGTTACTTGAACGCTGGGAAACTGCAACATCTGCAGAGGTCAGGCTGTCCACCCTGTGACCCCGTGACCCTAGCCTTTCTCTTCTTGGGTTGTTGGGTGGAGCAGAGGGAAGCAGAGGGTAAGGGGGCTCTGGAGAGCCCGAGTCAGAGTGCCCTGGTCTCCATGAGGGCAGAGAGGTAATGGAGTCGTCCAGAATGTCGGGATGGCAGGATGGCAGCAGGGTAATGGGTCCCTCTCGCGATTCCCTGAAGGCTTCTGTTCTTCTGTTGCTCCAGGAGAAATTCGAGGTCACAAACTTGAACATGAAATCGGGGATGAGCCTGAAGATTAAAGGCAAGATCCACGAGAATGTTGACCGGTGAGCATGGTGTGGGCAGGGATGAGGACTGGGGCCCTTAAAGGCTGGGGATGTTTTTGTTTTTTGTTTGTTTTTTTTGAGACAGGGTTTCTCAGTGTAGTTTGGTACCTATCCTGGATTTCCCTCTGTAGACCAGGCTGGCCTCGAACTCACAGAGATCCTCCTGGCTCTACCTCCCAAGTACTGGGACTAAAGGCTTGTGCCACCACTGCCCAGCAAAATTTATTTATTTCTATGTTATGTGCATTGGTGTTTTGCTATGGAACTGGAACTGGAGTCACAGACAGCTGTGAGCTGCCATGTGGGTGCTGGGAATTGAACTCAGGTCCTCTAGAAGAGCAGTCAGTGCTCTTAACCACTGAGCCATCTCTCCAGCCCCCAACTCTTCTTTTGTATGCTTCTTACCATACCCCTGCTGGCTCCCGTGAGGGGCCGCCTTTGCATCTAATCTCTGCGTTAGGAACCTTCAGAATGCCAGAACAGTCACTGTGCTCTCTTTTCCTTGTCTCAATTGCCACCAAAGGAGCAGGTGGAGAAGGGTGGCACTCTGTCGGGCCCAGCAGGTCTCGAGTATACACATCCTCCCGCTCACCACCCCCTTAAACCAGCTCCTGCGACGCTAACCAGAGGCAGCCACCAGGGGGTGACAAAGGTCCCGCTCGTTTCCTCTACCTGAATGCTGCACAGTTAGTTACCTGCTGCTCAGCCTCGGCAGAGCTAGGCTGACAAGTATATATAGAGTGATGCCAGCATTTCGTGAGAGAAACCTCCTGTGCCTTAGGAAGGAGGCAGGCAGACACACAGAGCAGGAGCTAAGAGGAAAAAGCTCCTCTTTCCTACCCAGGTTCCTCGCTTGCAGAAACATGCAGATATGCCTGGTCCGAGAACCCCCACCCAGGATGGAATCCCACACCCCAAATGCTCTCCTTTCAGGGACTCTGAATGTCTCACCCAGGCTCCTCTAGTGATCCCGTTAAGCCATAACACCCCTGCCTGCACCCCTCTGGTGACAGACAACCCAAATACCCGACGTTGTCACTGTCAAGCACCCTGGCGACAGCCTCAGTGCCTGCTCCAAACAGCACGTTTCACGACTGTGCACAGGCTGACTGGCGGCGAGGCACAGATCTCAACCGCAACATCGTCACTCACTATTCTAGTTTGGGGTCAACCAAAGCCCCCTGTCCCAAGCCGTTCTCCTGTTCACTCCTCTCTACAGCATCACCATTAACCTGGGCCAGGGGAAAGACAAGCTGAATCTGCATTTTAACCCTCGCTTCAACGAATCCAGCATCGTCTGCAACTCTTGCGATGGCGGCCACTGGGGACAAGAGCAACGAGACAGTCACATGTGCTTCAGTCCAGGAGCAGAGGTCAAGGTGAGGTCCAAGGGGAGCCTAAAAGATGACCCTCCTGCCTGGGCATGGGAGCCCCACCAGGCACCGTCAGGACTCTCCCCAGGCTCCCCTGACCTATTTCCTCCCCCTGTAGTTCACTGTGGCCTTCCGGGATAATGAGTTCAAGGTGACGCTACCTGATGGACACACGGTGACCTTCCCCAACAGGCTGGGCCACAACCACCTGCACTACCTAGGCATGGATGGGCTCCACGTCACCTCCTTCAAGCTTGAGTGAGCACGCAGCACCTCCTCAGAACAAGACCTCAGTCCCCAAACCCATTTCAGCCCCTCTGCGAGCCCCATCAGAACCACAGCCTTTAGGTCCTGAACTTCCCCCTGGTCCACTCGTAGGTTCTGCCCGCCTTCCTACTAACCCCGGCCCCAAGGTCAAGAGCAAATAAACGAGTCCACATTTATTACTTCCACATCGACAACTGTTAGCACTTTCCCACGAGTGTTAATGCTCCCCTACCTTTGATACAGGGTTGGAAACTGAGGCAGAGGGTGTGGCACGGCCGAGAGAAGAGGGTGGGAGGTGCTCCCAAGCCACCCTGTGCGTGTAAACCTGCCTCCCTCCTGGTGACCTGAGCACCTGCCAAGCAGCCCCATGGGATTATGGGGCAGATACTGGTTCCAGGCACCTGGGGCCAGGGTGTTCCAGGAACTGCAGATAAGGGTCCCACCTGGGCCTCTTATCGTTGAGCATTCCAGGCTGGTTATTCATTACCTCGGCTACCCCGCTTCTAGCTGGGGGGGGGGGGTTGGCGGGGTGAAAGGGGGTCCTCAACTTTCCAAACTCTCAGGAGGGGAAAGGGCATCTCAGTGGGGGCTGCCTCCTTGGCTTCTTAGGCAGTGAGTTTTTATCAGAAAAGCTTTTACGATCGGGCACAGGAGGGAGGTCCGGGTACACAGAAGACGGAATCTACTGCGAGGTTACACCTGACCTTTCTCTGGGAACTGAGGGCGCAGTGGTGGCCTTCTGGGGCAGCTCTACATGGGCAGGGGCAGGCAGTCCCACTCAGAGACAATGGCCCTGTGTGGTCCTTGTCCCACCCCTACCCAACCCGGGAAGCATCCTGGGGCACAAAGGCCACACTGTGAGGCCATGGGGTTGGCATAGGTTATGACTGAAGGGCGAGTGGGCCTAGAGGCAGTGGAGGGAGGCGGGCCAGATCAGTAGGGACCCCCTCACCCACGCCTTCCTTGCACAGGCCAGGAAGGATTTGGGGCTCTGGTTGGGCAGCTGTCCATGTCTTGTGGGCAGACGTAGCAGTTAAGGGGGCGGTGGGTGAGCTCAGGCCCTCTGCTCTCTGAGTCCTGAGGACGGCAGGACCTGGAGCCCATGCCCAGTCCTTCACACCTTGACTTCATCATCTTCCTCAGCATCAGCAAATTCAAAGGCATTGACCTGCACCGTGCTGGGCACCGGGGCCCTGGCCCTGGCCGGAGGCGCGCTCCATTCTTCTTCATTCAGGCTCTCCCAGGAGCCGTGGACTTGCGGTAGCACCCCCGCCAGCTCCCGCCGAGCATCCATCTCGGTATAGTGGCGGCTGGCCCGGCTGGCCCCCCAGCTGGCTCCACACTTGCCAAAGGCCATGTTGGGAGTCACCTGGGGATTCTCTCCCACAGGACTGGGCTTTACCTCGGCCACGGGGCCCAGCACAGCAGTTCCCCCGTTGGGGAAATGTTCACAGGCTGGGGGGCTTGCTGCCGGGGCCGGGGGGCTTGTCACGGGGTCTCGGGTGGTTACGGCACAGGCTGGGGGTTCTGCAGGAGGGGCAGGAGGGGATGCTGCTGAGGCGGGGGCGTTGGCAGCAGGGGCTGGGGTCTCAGCGGCCGGGGTTTCTGAAAGGCTCATGACCCCTAGCAGCTCGCTGAGGAGTGAGGGACCCAGGTCAAGGTCAAGACGGAAGGACAAGAGAGAGTCAGAGCGTCGAAGCTCGGGCTCAGACGGGAAAGAATTTTGCTCTCGGTCTTGAACACGGTCACGAACACGGTCACTATCGCGGTCACAGTCACGGTCACGGCTGTTGTGCTTTTCCACACGCGGCAGACGCGAGATGGTGCAAAACCCAGAATCGAGGCCTAGCAGAGAAACGGGGAAGAGGTCAGGCCTGGGGTCCCTAGCCTGTTCCTGGAGACAAAGAGCCAGGACAACCCTGACCTACCATGAGGCCCTTGGGAAGCTGTACCCCTTGCTGGCCTCGACTTCTCCTGCCTTCCCAAGGTAAGGACCCCACAGCCTTCCCCACGATCTCTGAAACTAACCCTGACCCCACTTTGCAGAAGAGCAAATGGAAGTTCAGTTTTCAACGGGGCAGACATTGCCCAAAGCCAGTCTGTCGGGGTTGGAACTACGCCTGCAGCTTCAATCTTGACACCCAGCCCCTGGTGTGGACTTGGCCATGGCTCCTGGTTCCCTCTACGAAACTGACTGTGAGTTTATCCGTGGGCACACGAAGGAACCAGAAGCCAGGGCCTGAGCAGAGAAATCATAGGTTCTCAGGAGAGAGACATGCCCTCCAAAGGTTACCAGCCCAACCCTTGCTTCCAGGACTCCCAGGCCTGACACAGTTAACTATGGAGTTCCCTGGACCTACAGTGGCAGCGAGACGAATTCAGAGCATGACCATGAGGGGGCAGCAGTAACCCAGGGTCCCCCGGAGAGCGGTCCTGCCAAGGCCAAGGTGGCATTCACACCTGAATCAATTTGCCAAGTTACACGAACCTTTGTCCAAATAACAGCTCCGACCTGAACACCTGCCACAGAGCCGCCCAGTGCATATCTGAAGTTGCCCAATCTTTTTCTGTTTTCTTTTTGGAGACAGGGTCTCTCTATGTAGCCTAGGCTGTCCTGGAACTCGCTCTGTAGATCAGATTGGCCTCATGACATCACTGATTTTTTTTTTTTTTTTTTGAGACAGGGTTTCTCTGTGTAGTTTTGGAGCCTGTCCTGGAACTTGCTCTGTAGACCAGGCTGGCCTCGACGTCACTGAATCTTAGCACTGAGACTAAGGGAGCCATTAAGGTGAGAGGACTGGAGCTCAGAGGTCCATGTGCTTACTGTAGTTGGAAGAACAAGGCCTGGAAACCAGAGCGGACTCGGAAATACTGGGGGGCTGCTTAATGGAAGGAGACAGGAAGGGGTGGACTGGCCACAGAGCCCAGAGATGGGAAAGGTTTGTCAGAGTCACAGAGCAAGTTAGAGGGCTGCTAGAACACGAACTCTATCTATCTCAGCCTCGGTGTCACGAGGCCCAAGCAGGCTGGCACCACACCTCCCTGATGCCGGCCCCCCATCCCCCAGCCTAGGTTGGGGGCCAGACTCCACTGGGAGATGGAACCGCTTTGGGGGAAGGTTGCTATGGAAGCTAGCAGAACCCCCACCATCTCTCTGGGCTTGAGTCCCAGCCATGGAAAAGAGGCCGTGAACCCGGGTCCTCACCATAACCAGAGCGGCCATCCGTGGAGCAGGCCGGACTGCTGTCAAAGCTGAGCTTGCCCACCACCAGGCTGTCATAGGTGGCCTGGTTGAGCTGGGGCAGGGAGATGGCATTCTTGATGATGGGGGAGACGGCAGGTGGGGCGGGCGAGGGTGCCGTTGGGGAAGCCATCCTTCGAGGCGGCACCCCCACCCTGCGCACCTGCTGGAGCTTCCTGGCCAGGAAACTTCGGGGTGAGCGGTGGTGGGTGCTTCCAGAGCGGCCCCCGTGGTTGCTGAGGAAGGAAGTATCGCCGAAGACATCCCCACCACGCCCCACGTGCATGGTGTGGCGGAAGTCCCCGAGTGGGGGGCTGATCATGTCTGCTGTCAGCCGCCTCTTCCCATGGGAACTGGACACCCATCCTACAGGAGACAGCTTGCCCAGGCTCATGGCGGGGGCTCCTGTGCCCCCCTGGGGGCCGGGCATCAGCTTTGGCTGCTCACAACTGCTGGTCCATGCCCACCTCGGGGCCAGGGAAGATGGCAGGCTGGGCTCAGGGATCTTTCTCAGCCTCTTTCTCTCGATGAAGATGGCGGAGCGGAAGCCGGCCCTTGACGGTCCCCAGTGCTGAGGCTGAGGGAGTCTGTTGCTTCTCTCTCCCAGAGGCCCTGCCCCTGGGCCTGGGGAGGCTGATGATCAGAGAAGGCACGAGATGGGTGGTCTCCGTCCTGGGGTGGAGACCTGGAAAGGCAGAGAGACAGCATTGTGGCATGGCAGCAGAAGAGGAAATCCGAGAGCAAACAGTAATCACCCGAGAGAACAAGTGAGGCTGCCCCACAAGGCACGGTTCCTAGATGAGGGCCAGCCAGGCACAAAGGAGGACCTGCAGAGTCCATGTGGAGGAAGTTCAAGAAGGAGCTGGGGCGGTGGTGACAGCGTGGGGGACGTTTACTGAGCGAGCTTGAGGACCTGAGTTTGGCTCCCCAACTACCATGTAAAAGTCAATCGTAGTAGTCGTGCGTGCGCCTGTAATCCCAGCGTTGGGGGGTGCGGGGGTGGGGGCGGAACGGAGACAGGAGGATCGCAGGTAGTCTCACTCAAACAAAACCAACACAAGTTTCAGGTTCAGTGAGTGCCTCTGTCTCCAGGGATGAAGGAAGAGTGAGAGCAGGTGTCTCTCCTCTGACATCTGTATGTGAGCACACGGACACATGCACACACACACACACACACACACACACACACACACACACACACACACGCACACACGTGCACACCAGAGTCTGTGAACAGGCAGGGTGGACAGCAATAGCAATCAGCAGTGTGGATGCCTCTGAGCGCTGCTGCCTGGACGAGGTACAAAGACCCCACTCTGCTCTCTGAATTCTCCGTGGGCATCAGTGAAGCAGAAAAAAATGGCCGATCACTACATAAAACCGGCCGGTGAGGGGCCAATGGCTCTCCAGCACAAGTCGGGCGACTCAGACCCTAGACCTGCTGGAGCAGGAATGAGAAACTGACCTGAAAGCTTGCCTGTGGCTTCTCAGGAAGACACAGAGAGCTGGGTTCCCCATCCCAGCGACCTTGAGCCCCAGACAACATGCCTCTTTGCCGGCATATTTCAGTTCTCTGTGGGGTTCAAATCTATTCTACCTGGAGAGGTCGAGAGAAAGGAGGCGTCCTGCCAAGGTCTTGTGAACAGCTGTGTACACAGTCAGTTTCCTCAGAACCTTCTACCTCCAAGGTGCTTCCTGGAAAAGGGATCCTGTGGTCAAAAGTGGCTTTTTCCAGCCAGCTCCTGCATGCCTGAGCAGAGTCAAGGCTCTGAGACCAGAAAGGGCTTTCGGTTGGTCAGGTTGATGGCGAAGCCTTGTTGTTGGGGAGCAAGTTTTAGGGGGAAAAAAGTCCTATGGGCACCAAAGCTACTCCCTACGTACAAATGCCCTCCTGACCCCTCGCCCACTTCCTTCTCAGAGGGTCCCTCTGTGTCCCCTCTTCTCTTTCCCTAGGTGGCTGGAGGGGACTTAGGATCCTGTAGCCTGAACTCTGGTTTGCTGTGATCCAGAGAGGGCCAAGCTTGCTCAAGGTCCCATCAAGAAGCTAGTCCAAACTTGAACTCGGGGCCTCTGACTCACAGAAACCCTTGCTGGCTTTCGGGGCCCAGTCTTGTTTCTCTGAGCACTTTGAGGGTGGGGCGATGCTGGATTTTCCTGCCTCACTCCCTCCCTCCCTCCCAGAGCTTAGCACGTGGCCAGATCCACAGGCAGGCTAATCACTAGCTGAGATAACCTTCCGGCCAGAGGACCACCCCCTGCCACCTTCTGAGGGGGTAGAGTACATTAGGGACTCAGAGTTCTCACCCTGTGACCTTGGACAAGTCACCTCCACACACCTGCTCAACTGATAAAGATCTCGACCTGAGTTTCAACCTTTTTTAAAATTTTCTCAACCCTAGCCGCTGCCTCCAAGCATAAAATTCTCAATGCAGCCTTTTTATAATGTTATTTGAAATTCAAAATAGGTTAACTAACCAGATAAAACAAAGAGGAGAACTGGACAAAGCTTGCTTTGTTTTGGGACTGCATTCTCGTCCGTCCCACCAGAGGATCCTCCTCCAACCCTAGCTCCTCCCCCCTCTCATGGAGGGGGGGGATGACTTCTGAATCATCCCTTTCCCTGGCACCCCCAGCGCGGAGAAGTCCTCGTGGAATGTTTGCTGAAGTTATAAAGCATTCGGCTTGTTGTTGGCTGACCAATGACATGATGTCATCAGATGATTCTCCGACACCCCCTTGAGGCTGGAAGGCTGGCTCAGGCTACAAAGAGGGCTGACTGACATGCCCAGGGAACAGACTCATCCAAGGTCCCGTGGCAGGTAAACACCGGCCAGGTTTCCCAGCTCCGCAGAAACAACTCTCTAAACTTTAGCGTCTAAAGGAGCGAGCTGTGGAGCAAGGTAGGGTGCATGCCCTTTATAAATTGCACATGGAGGGGTCAACTGTGTCTGTCTACCATGTGGACATACCCCCTCCCCCCCAATTCTCTAACTCCTGAGTTTCTTCCAGGCTCCTGCCCCATCCAACCCCCTGACCAACCTTGTGACGAAGACCCCTCCCAAATGCCTCTGGGTACCTCTAGATAGCGTCCTCTGCATCTACACCCATCTACCGCAGCCGAGGGTCCTGGCCCAGTTTCAGCTACTGTCTCTCTTCCCATGGAGATAGCCAGAAGAGCCTCCCGGCCAGAGAAGGGAGGAAGGGGCAGAAGATGTAGAAACTCAATTCTCCTACCCTGCCGCAGAGCAGGCCTGGGTTCAAATCCAACACTTCCTAAGTAAGGGACAGCTTTCATTCTTAGTGACCCTTGGTGGCAGCCACCTACCCCACGGTGCTCGCCACAGACTAGTGCTGGCCTTTAGGTTCGCCCCATCTGCACTGGGTATTGAGATACAGGGACCTCCTTTTTTTTTTTTCTTTCCAAAGGCCCAAGAAACAGCCCCTGTAAATGCTCAATTCGTCCATTTTACATGGGAAAAAAATGAGCCCTAGGTCACAGAACAAAAACATGGTGTGCCTGGAGTTTGCTTACATTCTACCAACACCAGCACAAGTGACCCGAGGGAGGAACAGGAGGACCCTGGCCCTACAGTTCAGCATCCATGACCCAGGCATGAGCGGCCACGGGTCAGGCGTCAGTATCGCCAGCTCTTGAATCCACTGATCAACGGTATGAGCACGTGGCCAGAGCTCCCTCAGTAGTAATGACCACAGGGACAAATTTGGGGGCTTTGGCAGGGCGCACTCACTCAGAGGCCAACGGGGGTGGGGGGGGTGGATGTGGAAGCAAGGAAGTTGGGTAAGAGAAGCCACTCCGATGGTGGGGGATAGCCAAGGCGTAGGGGCAGCCAGCCGCTCCTTGGAGTACCCAGATACTCCCTCAGGCAGGTACACAGAGCCCCCGCCCCAGCCCCCCTCAACCCGGGCAGCCTGCTGGGGAGGGCACAGCTTTGACAGCAACACAGGACTGTGAGATTCTGTTGCTTCAGGTTTCCCCCCAGCCTGTGGCATTTGGGATTAGAAGTTAAGTCCTTCAGGGGCATCCCCTCAAAGTCCAGCACTTTGAGGTGGAAGACCGGGAAACTGAGGCCGGAAAGGGGGTTAATAAGCTGCCTGAGTCACCATCCTGAATCCAGGTTCTCTGAACTTCAATGCGGGTAGGGTAGGATAGCAGGGGGCGCCTTGGGCCATTAGGGAGCAACTCGCAAAGTAGGAGGAGAAACGCAGGATTTTTTTTGTCTGTTTGTCTGTCTGTTTGTTGACAACGCTATATAGTCCAGACTGACCTCGAAATTGTGACCCTCTTGCCTCAGTTTCCCAAGTATTGGGATTAACTTGTGTGCCACTACCGATTTACTAAGATGCCTTCTTGCCCCAGCACCCCAAGTTAAAGGTAAAGCTGCCCTCCACTCGGCCGCTGTGGTCTTTCAGCCTCAGTTTCCCAGTCTAGAAAACGAGCTTCAAACTTGGCGAGTCTTGCATAGTTGGGACAAGGGCAGAATCAGCTGGAATGGGAAATCTAGGGAAGACTTCAACCAGTAAACATTCCCTTCTGGGGACCTCGTAGGGGAGACTTTGGAGAGTCCCTCGCTCCGGTCCGGCGCGGGCAGCGGGCAGCGGCTGCCGTGGCCAGAAGGGAACCGGACGGATGACCTCATCCGTTGCTCCAGTCTGGAATGCAGCTGGGGAGGGGGCAGGGTGCCCTGTCCCCGTCCGTCCCCCCACCCCCCCAGCTTCCCGATCCCGCGCTGGCGTCGCCGAGGGGCCCTGGGGTCCCTTCCCTTCCGCTGCCCGCGCAGGAATGCGCGCAGACGGCCCTGAGCTCGCCCTCTGCCCGCCTCCCGGTTTGGTGCTCTGTCCCGCGATCCTTGGTCCCCTGCGCCCTCCCGCAACGTGACAAAACAACCCTAGAAGTCCGCGCGTCCCGGCCTTCTACGCGTTGGCCCCGCGCGCCCAGGACGGTGCGCACTCCCCCGGCCCGCGCCCGCGGTTACCTCGTGTCGTCGAGCCCGGGGGTCCAGGGGCGGGTGCGCTGGCGCGTCCCTGCGCAGCCCAAGAGTCGCTGGGCCGGTCTGCGCCGCCCTGGCCGCGGGCTTGGCGGCCGGATCCCGGGGCGGGGGCGGGCTGCGGGCTCCCTCCGCCCCTGCTCCGCCCGCGGCGGCCGCGCCCCCTCCCGGGCTAGCCACGCCGCGAGGGCTGCAGGGGCGCGGCGGGGGTGCCAGGCCAGGCCCCTGCCCGCCGCCCCGAGGCGGGGCGACCTCGGGAATGTTCACTCTGTCCCGAGCCAGGACTGCCCAGAGGAGGCCACTGGGACTCTTTGCTGCCCACTGCTCCTCAGATGACCTCGGGGAGTCCAGGACTGACAACTTTGGCCTGGGCCTCCAGCCCTTCTCTGCTGGGGCTGGGGGAACTGGCCAGAAGACCTTGGCTCCTTTGAAGCGTGGGACATTCACTCTTTCCCTTTCTCTCCGGTCCCCTCCTGGCCACCCAGTACAAGCCCCAGCAGGACACTTAGCTACTCCGGGGAAGAGGCCATTACTGCAGGCCACATGGGGAGAGGGGTGTAGGGTAGCATGTGGTACTGTTACGGACCCTAAAGATGGTACGACCCTTGCTTCTTCCTTGCCTTTCAGTGCCTCAGTTTCCTCATGGGGCTGCAGAGATGGCTCAGCGGTTAAGAGTGCTTCCTGCTCTTCCAGAGGATGGAAGTTCTGTTCCCAGAGTAAACACACACACACTTGCACGCACATTCGCACGTGCGCACACACATCTATTAAAGTGGAGTTATCCAAGCAGACATCAGATATTACATTATCTCCTGTTCCCTGCTCTACCAACTAGGAGAGTTGTTGAACAGGTAAATGAGGTCACACCTTAGAAATCTTTAGTGGGGGCCCCCCTACTTCAAAGAAGACACAAAGTCAGCCATGCTCAAGAAGAGAAGACAGATCCTGGCCCCCTGCATCATGTTGTACCCTCTTTCCTCTGAGGTCGGACAGGAATCCTGGGGGGCTGCACGTGGCACAGACAGGTCCCTAAGGCTGTCTGAGAGTGGGATATTGAGCGAGGTTCTCTGGAAGAGAGGAAAGCCGGGTAAGACTTAAAAAGACAGAGCGGCAGAGAGCCTAGGAAGTTCACACTGGACAGACTGTGGCCAAAGGCTTTGAGCTATGAGGCAGGGCGGGAGCTGGGCAGCACGGTCCCTGCAGGGGTGAGGAGCCATAAGGAGAGATAGATAGAGGAGACAAGCTGTCATGGAGTGCTGTGCCTCCAGGGTTGGCTCTCTCAATCCTCACGCTAGCCTCCTGGGGGGAGGTCATTTTTCCAGCAGGACACTTGACAAAACGGAGGCACAAAGCATACAGTACTTGCCCAAGTGGCACGTAGATAAGACTGGGATATAGGTGGCTCGGGATCTTTCCCCCGGGGCACCGCAGGGAGATTGAGAACTGTGTCCCCAAGACTCAGAGGCACTGAGGCACATGGGTGAGGTGGCTGGAACACTGTAGTACAGAAGTGGGCCAGGGCCTGGGTACTTAACCATGGCCAGGTGTCTATGCGTGCATAGAGGCAATTACAAATCTCTCAGCTTTTATTGAGCACCTAATGCATACCGTGCATAATCACCTTTAATCTCGGTGAGAGCTCTATGGGAACAACGGTGTCGTTATGTCCGTTTTGCAGAAAAGTGAACTGACTTGTCCAGGGCCTCCTACTTGGCAGGGTGACCACATTTCCTGTTTGTCAAGAGCACCAGTGTCCCAGCTTGATTACCAATACCACTTGCTTTTGCTCTCAAAGGTAGTCAGCATAGCTGGAAAGCCACTCATCCCTCCTCCAGCCAGGGTTCCTGGAGCAGCTCAGAAAGGAAGCTATTTGGCTGAGCGTCAAAGACCCAGACAGAGTTCAAGGCTGCCTGTGAGCACAGTGCAGGCTTCACTTTAAAAGGGGTCTAGCTCCGGGGCAGGCATTTACCACACCTGAGGGTGTGTTGCAAGCCCAGAGAGATGGCCCAGAAAGCTGTCTTTGTTTTGTTTATTGAGACAGCATCCCCTTGTGTAGCCCTGGCTGACCTGGAACTCATGATGTAGACCAGGCTGGCCTTGAACTCACAGAGATCTGTCTGCCTCTGCCTTCAGAGTAAAGGCTTGCACTACCACACCCAGCTGAGAAAGCTGTTTGGATGCAAGTGATTATTACCCTCTGGCTACTCTTGGACCATCCTCTGTACCTTGGCTCAGTGGTCCTGAACCTTCCAACCTCTAGACCAGATTCCAGATACTCCATCTCTCCCAGCTGGCTGTGTGGCAATCTTCTAGGCAGACATTCTTGTCCCAGTGTACAGACGGTTGAACGGAGGAGGGTAAGAGGAGCCATAGCTCACATTTGTAGGTTGTCTCTAGAGAAGTACACCTCCATGTAGGCTGCCGTCCCTGCTCCAGGCTCCACGCCTGCTTTAAGGATCGGACTCAGTTTCCTCTGGGAAATGGAAGGAAGAGAAGAGCCCTAGGATCCAGGGGTGAGCACCACCCCCGCTTCTCAGGTCTTTCTCTTCTGATTTTCTGAAGTCCCCTGCCCGCCTCCCAGGCTGTGCCAGGAGTGCAGGGGTTAACCTCGCCGCCAGAGCCCTAATTACCGTGGGGGATGCAGAACAAATGACTCCCAGCTGGGGAAGGAAGGGGAGCTGCGGCTGACACGGGTTGCCTGGGATTCTCCTGCGCTGAAGGCACCAAGCCCTAGGCCTGTATACTCCCAGGTCTCGGCTGCCCTGACCTGACCCTTACAGACTAGAGACTAGGGCGGGGAGGGAGGTTAATGGGAAGGAGGTATTTCTGAGGAGGTGTCGAGGATACAGGCTGAGATGGGGTACTTCCCACTTGGGGCAACCTTCTGTGAAGTCCAGTGAGCAGAGAATCTTGGGCTGGGTGAGTCGGCTTGGCTACAGCTATCAGGCCTTCCTGGGCAGCATGCTTCCTTGAACTCCAAAGTCTGTCTGGATTGCTGGCCAGTTTATTCTTCTGCTCATTGGCCCCATCTTCCCAGTCCATCCACCCACAGCTGCACAGGCCCATTAATCCAGCTGCCTAGATGCCTATCCCCTCCCACCCACCTCCTCACCTCCACCCGTCCATTTACCCACCCACCCATCTGTTGATCTAAACCTATACCAGTCATCCAATCACTTACCACTCACCCTCCACCTACCCATCCACGGATGCTTCTGCTCCTCAGACATCCACTCTCTCTTCCCGCCTGCATCCCTGACCATTACCTACCCACCCACCCAGTTTGCATCCTCACACTCAACTATTCATTTTTCTTTCCATCTGATGACTCCCTTACACAGACCTACTCTTGGCTTCTGCTGGTGACCACATCTCTGAGCCCGTGCGCGCACGCCCGCGTACACACACACACACACACACACACACACACACACACACACACACACACACACACAAGAGCCATGACCACTGATGGGCCACTCAGGCCCTCCAGAGGCCATCTCTCAAGCTAGATTGCCTATGGTCTGGCCTCCATGTGGGCATCTATTTGCCAGAGAGTGCTCGATGAGATGAGATGCCTACTTGGTACTCCTGGCGTGTTTGGGGGAACGGCCAGGGTTGTCACAAGTAAAGGGTCATTATCCTTTCACCTGGATACAGCCTCATGAAGGCGGGCCTCTACTTCTCAGGGACTAGATTCCCACAGGGCTCAGACATGCATGGACACCTCAGAGGGAAGGGGCGACATTTTGGGGGCCCCAAGAGTTTTGTGCTGTGAGATGTCATTATACCTAGGGGATAAGGCATGGGGCCAAGGGGGTGGCTGCACCTCATGCTCTCCCTTTTAAAATCTAGGATACTTTTTTTTTCTAAGACAAAGTCTCACTATACAGTGTTGGCTGGACTGGAACTTACTATGTAAACCAGGCTAGCCTTGAACTCACACTTGCTGGGATTAAAGGCATGTGCCACTATGCCCAGCCCCAGGATACATTTCCTTCCTTCCTTCCTTCCTTCCTTCCTTCCTTCCTTCCTTCCTTCCTTCCTTTTTTTTTTTTTAACTCTTTGAATTTTTTTTTAATTTTATGTGTATAGGTGTTTTGCCTCCCTGTATATCTGTGTACCATGTGTGTGCCTGGTAACTGCTGAGTCCAGAAGAGGATGTTGAATCCCCTGGAACTGGAGTTACAGATGGTTGTGAGGCATCATGTGGTGCTGGGAATCAAACCTGGATCCTCTGGAAGAGCAGCAGTGTTCCTAACTCCTGAGTCATCTCCCCAGCCCCTGCCCTGGAATGCATTTCTAAGTCAGGCAGTTAGGTTCATATCTCAGCCTTGCCTGCCACTGGCAGTGTGACCTTGAGCCCGGGCCTCAGTTGGACAGTCTATGACAAAGTACGGACGTCACAGCTGGTCCTGTGGTTGTGGCCAGGGAAAGGTGGCTGCCATGGTTGTTTACTTTTCCCAGGGGTCAAGTTCAACCTGTGTGTGCCAAGGGAAGAGCTGCTGGGAGCAGCCCTGGGCTAGGACTTGTGGGGACTGTTGGGGAAGGGTGGGCAGTAGCTGCTTTCCCTGGGGGTAGAGCCTCACGAGGACCACAAGAGTCTAAAATCCTGGTCAAAGGAATCAGCAAAGCGTAACACTGGCAGGGAGGCTTCTTGGAGACGTGGCATTTGACCTGGGCCTTGTGTCTTGGGGGAGATGGAGTTGGGTTTGTGAAAGCAAAGAGGTGGAGGTGAGCTTGGGTACACCTGAGGATGTTTGTGACCTGGCCAGTTAGAAGATGAGCTGCTTGTCTGCCTTACCATGGAGGATGGAGTGGAGAGAGGTACTGAGGCATGCTGAGGGAGGCTAATTCCCCCCCCCCCCCCCGGCCCCCCGCGTGTGACATAGGCCAGGCTGGATTGTGCACTTAAGACACCTGGCCCTGGGATGACTCGGGTTCCTTTATTAACTGCTGCTGGTGTTTTCCATTCCCTTGCCGACGTTGAAGGCTAGGAGACCTTCTGGAACTTTCTGGAAGGAATCTTTGACCTCTTCTTTCTCTCTATCCAAGAACCCCAAGAATCACCTTGGTGGGGAGTCTTAGGGTCCACAGTAGGCTACCGGGGACACTGACGACAGAGG